TATAGGCGGATTCATGCTGACGTCATTGTTTACATTTTTGCTCATTTGCATACGGCTTTGCGTAAAGAAGGAAGCATGTTAGATACAAATTGACTTCAGGCAGCTAAAGAGCTAGAAAACCTTAGTACATGGTGAGATTTTTAGCTCTTTGGGTGTAATATTGAAGGAGAAATAGTCCATCAAAAACTACAAAATTTCTGGGTGGCAAAAGCGCTAATGAGCTCATACATTCTATGTAAAATTTTGAGCTTTTAAACCCCAGTTGCACAAAAAGCATTCAATGCATCAGGCTCGTATTCATTGGCGGAGTTAATCGTACTTTGACCTTTCCATATTCAGAACTGATTTATTTTTAGCTCTATCAGAAACTTAAATGCTTATGCTAATGAGGCAAATATTGTAAACAAGGATTCCCCTATACCGCCTATTATTAAAAACTGGATCATTGGATAATGCAATTCAAGACTTTTTATTGGCTTAGCCATTATGGTATATGAGCCAATATACCATAATCCAGGAGCCCATCATGGTCTCCTGCATAATCTAATATCTGTACATTGTAACATCCGGTTTCTTCTTACAAAATAAAGTCGAGAAGATTTTTCTAGTATCTTGGGGGCGTTTGTTTTTAATAAAACAATTATTCCACTCGCGCTTGTTGAATATGAGATGATTATAACCACCTTCGATCTCAAATTTACCGCCACAAATAAAGACAGTTTCGATTGGAGAAAGGAAATACAAATCTCAAAAATTCTTGTATTGGGATGAAGACATAAAACAATTTTGAGGAATGCACCTGCTGTTCACTGCTTTGGAGTAGCTGTAGCTCAAGCTGACTTGACTTTAAGAGTTCTACATCACACGACGGTTAATTGAAAAATGGTCCAGTGGGACCTAAGGCTCCTTTTATAGCGCGCCTTCGTGTTTTAACAAATCATACGTAAGATGGCAATATATGGTAACTTTAAATTGAATAATTTTGATTCATGGCTAAGCATTGTGATATCTTATGTAGTATTTCAGATGTTTGGGTCGAATTGAACAAATTACAAGGAAGGTATTGATATCAGCATTGGATTGAATAAATACGATTCATAGCTTAGGATTGCCAAACAGCACAGCCATCTACTTAAAATCCTAGCAGTTTTAACAAATGACAAAGTAAATACGGAGCGATAAATAATCCTTTCTCTGGCAGCCCTAGTTCGCCTGCTGTTCCTATCAGACTCTATATATCAAACACCTCCTTACACTGCTAGTTATTCTGCATTTAACATTAACTTAACTGAAACTATTAAGAAAAAACCTTTACAGATTTATGTTACGGGAAGCGTATCCGCCAGTCAGAATAACTTCTCAAGTCGGCAACTTTATGACCCTCCCTGAAGAGGGTCAGGAAACGTTGTCTTTTTAAAGCTCACCGTAGATACTGAGGTATGATCTGAATCAGTACTATTGTAAAGGACAGAGATGGGCCTCCATAATAATTAAGTTATAACAGTTCAAAGCTTATCAACTGCTGAAGGAACGTAACATACTTTTGATCTCTAACAGTACATGTACAACAATCAACAACAACTTTATTTGCACCCCTGAATTAAATTAAATTTACATTACAAAAAAGTAGTAAAACAAATAAAATAAAGTGCATGGCTGCCCAAAATAACTACCAGGCTAATAGGATTGTGCATCTACAAAGTGCCACGTAAACAGCCGAACCTCAGCTAAACAAGACATTGGTGCGTAAACAAGTATCCCTAGCAAGTAATCATTTAAAAGGAAATATTTGCTTGCAAATAGAATTTTTTTGCTTCTTCTCCCCATTGTGCACTTTTTATTTCTTTGGGGGCCCTGCGACTTGGGGTGGAATTTATTTGGATTATACCCAGTACCCTTTAGGATACTTATGCTTGCCAAGTGACCAGGCTCCCATGTGAGCGTCACTCCGTTTCATCTTGATGGTGGTTAAAGACCTGTTTTTTCATCCCTCCTCCTCCCCTCTTCGGATTCTTTGTAGTCGTTTTCCGATACTTCCTTTTTATGTCAGACTCATATTCCATGTCATCCTCATACTGTTCTTCAGATCCTTTGAGGTAGTTTTCTAATTCTTCTCTGTGTTCTTCAGGTTCGCCTATCTTCTCTGATGGATCCTCGTGGGAATCCTGTGGTTTTTCACCCTGTTCAGTCTCATCTCTCTCTTCACGCTCTTCATGATTGATCTGCTCTACGATTTTCTCATGCTCACTTTGATCTTTCGACTCGTCATCGTTGTCATCGCTGTCATAACTCTCTGAGTCGTGCTGGATTTGAACTGAAAAGAAGAAAGTTAAAAGATAAAAAGTACACTGTATCACCAGTGTTATCTCCAGTAGTACCAGTTACGCCATAACATTTAGTGTTCTTTGTTAAACATGAACTCCAACAAATGGGCGACAGTCTTTATTGGAACAGCAACATTGGTGGCAGCTCTTTCAAGGAAAACAAAATTTAACACTGTTGTAACGCAGTTTCTCCATGAAACTTTCACGGCATTTACTGATTCTAAAGCACAAGAAATGTTTGCCCAGTGTAATAAAAATAAACCTGAAATATTATTTGAATATTGAAATCATCTTGTGACTAAAGCAGATAACAAAGTATACAAAAAAAGCCGAACCTTCGTTTTTTATCGGGATTTTGTATTGCATTTTCAAAAACTGGAAAAGTCCCCATAATTTCTGTCAGTTCAATAAAGAGCTGTTTGATATTTTATAGTTCTTAAACTTTCTTGACCGTGAATAAAGGCTGATAGTTTCTAAAGAAACTGTTTGGGGCTGCGTCGGTGGGGGTAACAAAATAATTTGAATATACCAACAAAGTTGAAATGGTAAATTGGCCACCGTTATGATTATAAAAGCTGGCGTTTCGAGCGTTAGCCCTTCGTCGGAGCGAAAGGGCTAACGCTCCAACGAAGGGCTAACGCTCGAAACGCCAGCTTTTATAATCGTAACGGTGGCCAATTTACCTTTTCAACTTGGTTGATATATTCAAATTATTTCTTGACCGTGGCTGATTTTCCAAATTGACGGAAATGAAGAACTTGTATCAACGCGTTTTGATTTACGACAGAACCTCAAACTATGAATTATTGTTATTGTTGATGGAGGGGAGGCATCAAAATTTTAACTTCTTTCAGCAAAACGAAGAACTGTTTCAGTTCATGAGTAAGCCAGACGTATGTGTACGTGTATTCAGGAAAGAGGTGATAGTACTCTAACCACCGAATTGGCTCAAAGGTAGCGCAAAGTTATCAAAGCGTTGTGAAAAAGAACAGCATTCTTAGGGGCATATGAGGTCCCACCGCGAGAACCAGTTTTTTCCCTTTTTCTGGCGTAATTATCAAGCTTACTTTGCTTTGCTCCAATAACGAACCGTAAAGTTATCAAGAAGTTTAGCCCACTTCGTTACGTTCTATATTTATCATATATATCAATCTCCTCACGCAACGAACTGCTTAACCTTGTCCCCTTTTCTTCCTATATTCTCCCTAAAGTTGTAACAACTTTCTCGGTTTTAGAAAAATTCCTCGCTACATGCGTAGTGGAAGTCACCACTTTAGTAATCAAAAACAGTGGTACACGTTTTGGGAAATTAATTTAATCAGCCGTGTTGGCGCGAAATTAACACTTAACCCAAGGACCAATATCAAGTGAGCACTTGTTGCAAATTCGTGTTGTGAGATTACTGTTTGAAAAGTATACTAGAACTTCTATGTTGTAACAGGAATTGGATAGTTTGTATATGCGTTTTTAACCCATACGTCCAAGTCCATTGTAAAATTGTGTTCACAATCTGATGAATCATGCTTCCTTCCAGAGAGATACTGCTAAACTGAACATAAAGCTTTGTTTAGATACAGTATGGTGTTTTTTTTTTACACATTTTCCTGTTAACTCTCATAAATAAACCTCCCCTAGAGGAAACTGATCTCAATGATGTTACTCAAAAGTGCCCTATGATTTATGTTTTAGTCAGCTTTCCACCGGCATGTTTCAGCGGAATTGATTACTCCTGTTTTCTAGGTATTGAAAAAGGCCCAGCTTTTCCAAAAGTTTATCAGTAGGAGGTATTTTGTTTTCTAGTGGGTGCTTCAGTTGTCTTTTTATTTATTTTTTCGCTATTTGCAGCGCGTATGTTGCTCTTCAATTCTGGGTTTTCCACGGCCTACAAGAGGAGGAGAAAACTCTGGATAAAATGAGGACACAAATGAGATTTGGCCCTCAAAGGAATGCCAAACATACCCTGATGATAATCCTCTACATCTTATTATGACCATTTTAAATGCAATTGCTATCCATTTCTCACATCGTTTTAAATCTTTAATAATTGAATTAGTTTTACAAGCTTGACAAATCTTCATGAAGGAGCACTAACGATTTTCTCTCCGGTGGTAATTCAGGGCACATTAATAAATGTACATGACAGCTCTAAACTTTAGCATTGTGATGCTTTCTCCCTATACGTTTGTCTAAGCTTCTACATTTATGTTAATCTCAAGTTTACAACAAATCGGAATAAATTAATACGAGCCATCACATCGAGCTTATAATGGTGTGTAGTTGAGTAAATATGATTAATGGGTTATGAATAAGCCATTAATAGTGTACTTATGGGCAAACGGAGTGCATAAATACATTTGAATACCTACATTTAGAGTAAATGATAAAGAAAACAAATTTAATTGTTTTTAATAAACCTAAACCTTACCTTCATCAGAAGATTGGTCCTCATCCCCTTTTAAATCTATGTGTGGCTCTTCATATTCGGAATTTGCTGCAACATCTCTCTGGGACTGTCTATGGTCTTCAGTATCTGTCTTCTTTGATTGTGCTGTTATTTTATCAGTAGAGTCGGTAGGCTCAGTTTCAGGCTGTCCTGGCTTGGCAGGCTCTCTGTGTATTGTGTTCAGCTGCCCTTTACATGTATCTCGAGGCCCAGTGTGTTCCACACATGAGTGATCATGTTTGTGGACCTCCTCTTGCTCTTTTTCAGTATCCTCTTCGGCTTCTTTGTCTGGTCCTTTGTGGAACATGGAAATTTAAGAGATTAGTAAATATTGTGAGATCGGTTTGTAGACAAAGCGAATTAAACAACGTCATGACAAAGATAGAACTTGTAAATTTGTACTGTCGTTGCTCCACACCGAAATGTATCCACTCGAAGCGATTCTGTTTTGGACAATTGCTTGACTAAAAATGAGGCCCTCTTCTCTAGCTGCTACCCTATTGTCGCCCAAATGAAAACAGACCATAAAGGCGTAATTTTACCAGCAGGTGTGAGACTAATACCCTTGAGATTCAGTAGCACAATGCGTGATTGCCGAGAGCATCGCAAAATCGTGTTTTACCATAAGCTCCTTGAACAAGACTGGAATCATGTTAATAATAACTCTGACATCGATACAGCGGTGAACTCGCTGCAATCCACCTTAGAGAAATTAATGAATGAATGTTTTCCAAGCAAATGGACTCGAATGTCTTCCAGAGACCCTCCATGGATGAGTCCATCAGTGAAATCGCTCTTGAAGAAAAAAACAAGATCTCGAAAAGGCGGCGGGAGAGTCCTAGCTGAACTGACGGAGAAGATAGGACGACTAATAGCTGAGAATCGCCGAGCTTTAGCGTCTGGGAAACTTGGATTGCTAGCCCGGTGGAGGAAAGTTGATCGACTGTCCATGCGTAAAGACAAGAGCAGCTGCGAACCAGACAAGGATTTCATCATTGGTTTAAATGATTATTTTGGTGAAATTTGCTTTGATAGAGAATAATCTGAACCAGTTCCTGCCGAGATTGATGCGAACACCCCTGCTCCACAACTATCTACATTTCAAGTGTTTATTGCCTTATCACGAATAAAGC